GCTATAGGATGAGATTGTGAGTATTTGTGAGTATTACGACCTTAAAAAGGACTATGAAGAAAACAAGGAGAAGTTCTTAAACAAAGAATACCTAGCGAAGCAGAGCGGTCCCTGTTTGAATCAGCAATCTGCAGCTGAAACACATTAGGTGATCCACAGAATCCTTATATCAGGTTTTTCTGAAATGAGAAGAAGAAGATTTTGACTTACACTAGGCTTTTGGGCACTAGCAGCAGGTTTTAGTAGATTTCTTCCAGGGGTACCCTGAAAAATGTAAAATTGCGTAAAATTGCAAGTAGAACTGCATTGTATCAGAAATCCTCAATCTAAGTTTATTGTAAGTGCTGTGCAAAAAAGACTTCGCAACTCACAGTATTTTTCATATCACCAAAAGCGCGTCGTGGAGTGTTCACAACTTGCTTCTTGCCTAAAAAACATATGTTAGCGAAAGAAGAACAGAAAACAGATATTTATATAACCTTGAGCAGCCAGATTCTCCTCTTCCAGGTGAACATTACGCTGTCTCACAGATGCGAGATGCATACTAAAAAAAGGATAATTCAAAAGACACCTCGTAATTGCCGTTTATGTGAAGAGATAGATTACTAAACAGGTACGTGAAAAGAAAAGCATCAATATGCGAAGATAGAACAAAAGCTACCAAAAATCCGAAACTAAATAAAACACACAACTAGAACCAAATTTGCAACTCGCTGATTTCTGCCTTCCATCAGATAATAGCGCTATTCCACTGCCGATCTTGTCATATAAAGTTGCACTCTAATGTTTACAAACTTTGCAGATAAGAAAACGAACAAAACCAAGCGCTGTACCCAAAATTATCGTCAAGGTGAACTGCGCGGTATTCAAACCTCGCAAGTCCCGCCGTATAGGCTGGAGCAGATTTGGTGCGCTTGGCCACAAAAACTGCGACGTCAGAGGTCAATTTGCGACTGAAGTTCTTGACAAATTCTTGTCAGATTTCTGGCACCTGTTGCAATCTAATATATAAAAAATCACAAGCGCAGTTCAAAAATCT